ACCTCCATGCTGCCGTCCCCACCTGCCACCCTAAGATAGATGATGGGTAGCACCCTGGCTAGCTCCTTCATTCCATCCAGCCTCCCTCTGGCGAACTTCAAAATGGACTAACCCATAATCAAAAGTCAGTCGACTAACATCTGGGACGTGGATTTTTACAGCATCTGCACCCGGGCCATGCTATCCTAGCCCTCAAATATCGCTTTAAGATCCGTGCTACACAACTAACTTTCTATATGATTTTTTTTGTTTCTCTCACATAAAACATATCTTCAAGTTCAAACCTATGCAGCGTGGCAAGGCTTTTTAACTAGAATCTAGGATAAATCTTTCAGAATTTTTTGTCCGACATAAATACTAAAATTATGAATTTTTTAATCAAACAAAACGTATTTTATATACTATTTATGTTTTACAAAAAAAAACTGAAAGATTTATCCTAGATTCTATTTAGAAAACTTTACCATGCTGCATAGGTTTGAACTTGAAGATATGTTCTGTGTGGGAGAAACAAAAAAGAAAAATGTGTTTGCACGAATCGCGATGCGAAAAAGAATGGCTAGATAGAGATGGCCTGGTGCAGGTGCTCTATTATATATTTCCCCTAACATCTGGCTATTGTGAAATAATTTTTCAGGCGAGTTATGAATAGCCGGTTGCCTTCGTACTATACCTCTGGAAGCTACAGCAACGGCAACCCGGAGGTAGAGCGTCTCGCCGTTGACAGCCATGCGCCCGTCGAGCATCTGCGTGTCGATGAGGTCCCCGACCCAGACGAGGCACCGGCTCACTTCCCCCTTGGCACTGCTGCTTTGCAGGTCGGCGTACGCGTAAGCCACGCACGAGCAGTTCGTCGCGCACCTCGCCGCGCACTCCTCCGCGCTCCGGTTGCCGCCCTCCAGCAAGAACTTGTCCGGCACCTTCATGCTCGGCATCGGCAGGAAGCCTGCCCCATCCAAGACGCCGCACGGCGGCAGCGCCTCCTTCCGCCGGCAGCCCTGATCGAACCTGCCGTCGCTCCACTCCGCCGCGTTCACCGGCTCGAAGCCGTCGAGGCACCTGCACGCCGCCGCCATGTTGTCGCAGTACCCGTACGCGCCGCAGTAGCCGTACCGGCTGCACCCGCTGGACCCTGGCCACGAGTCGAGCGTTGCCCAGGCCGACGCGGTGCCGTTCCAGCTGAAGACCTGGAACTCGCCGGAGCTGGTGATTACGTACCGAGTGGGCGAGGCGCCGTCGGAGACAGTGAAGGCCGTGGAGATCTCCTCGGTGGTGTCGACAACCGCCGTGTAGATGACGGTGCCAGCACCGATGTAGTTGGTGGTGACGGCGATCCCCGTCCACACGGGAGAGCGCCAGTAGGGGCGCGTCCCATTCCACAGGAGCAGCTGGATGTACGTACCGGGGTCCACGCCGTAGGAGAAGCTTCCCGGCGCCGGGTCGCCGGGGGACTTCCACGACACGAAGATGTCACCCCGCAGCGTCCGGTGGCTCATCCGGACCTTCATGCCCGGGATGAGGGTGTCCGTCGGGTGGTCGAAGCTCTGCCACAGCGCGGTCCCGTTCGGCGACCGGACGACTAGGTTGCCGTCGTTCTTAAGCACGGCGGACGAGGACGAGGACGAGCTACCCACGGAGGACACGCCGGATGTCCAAAGAACGCCGCCGGAGGCGTCGGACAGGACGAGGGTGGTGTCGTTGGCCAGCGCGAGCGCCGGGGCCGGGCCGGAGGAGGAGGAAGTACGGTTGGCGAAGATTGGTGTTTCCCGGTTGGCCACCCATACGACGGTGGGGCGGCCGGGGATGTTGTTGTACCATATGCCGAGGTACTGCCTGGCCGGGGTGGCATCGTCCGGGACGAAGAAGCCTAGAGCGAAGGCGCCGCCGTCGGACACGACGGACTTCCCGGGCAAGAGCAGCTCGCCGACGGCCAACTGGTCGCCTGCCGGCGCGCAGGGACGCGGCAACAGGAGGCAGACGACGGCGACGGCGGCGACGGTGCAGGTGGCTGAACGTGATAGATCCATATCTATCGACCAAGGCGCATGTAAACTGCAATGACTTGGTCTCCTGGTGGCAAAAACTGAAAAACATGAGTCGTGGAGGATGCCGTGCGGAACTGCGGATGTGCCCTGCTGTGGTCGCGCTTTAGTCCAGTCCACTGGTTGTTAGCGGCCAGTCGGCCACTATCGCGCCCGCGCCGCACGCGCAGAAATTTCTAACCGTCCAATCGTCTGAGCTCCAACTTTTCGACTCTGGTTGCTGAAAACCAGTCTAACCAAATGTCAAGGTGCTAGCTTATTTTTCTCCATATCACTTAAGAGCTAACTAGACTTTCTACATGGGACTAGCGCATCCTAGTCTTCTTTTTCATACTACTATTCAAGATCTTATGTTCGCACACAAAATTTCGAGAAAAATTCCGCGTGTACATCCACACATCCTATGTGCACACACAAAATATCGGTGAAAAAGGACATTTTTATGGTATGTATGAAAAAGATAAAAAAAATGCCTTATGGATAACTGTAATCAAGCATAGAAAGTTGTCTTTTTTACACAAGCCACAATTTTTTTTCACGCACATATAGTGTCTGGATTTACACGCGAGATTTTTCTCTCCAATATTTGTAACTTTTTAAAATGTGTATTTAGACAATGAGTGTGTATATACCTATGCGCAAAGTGAATTTCCGCTAAATCTAAAAGCTCCCTAGGAAAGAAGCTCTGTGGTTGATCAAGCCTGTGGTGGGCCCATAAGACCCTCCTATCAGAGAGTGTATATTATTTTATTGCTGGATTTGAGCTGCCTGCCTTACCACTTTAGCAAACTAGCCGATCATATAAATTTTTGCATAGGTCCACTCCATGCATCACGATTTTTTTTCCATGTTTCTTGATTTCTCTGTTTTGTATTCCTATAACGTCCGAATAATTATGCTACAGTGAACCTATGTTAATGATGCCACGTCATCTCTGATTACTGTTGCAAATCCCGCGATAGTTCAAACAATTCAAATTTAAATTTGAGTTTTTATCAAACATCAAAAGTTTTCAAAATGTTAAACTAAAATGTTCGGAGTGTGCAAATAAAAGCCTAGGTATTTAAGGTGAGGGAACCATGCTTTTATAAAAAAACTAAATACTGAAAATGAAGTAAAGCAGAAAAGAAAATAAAGAAAAAGAAAAAAAAGACAAAACGAAAAAAAGGCCTCCTGACCAACTGGGCCAGATGGCCAAGCTAGCCGACCCACTTGGCCCAGCCGGCCCCCCTCACTCCCCTTATCCTCCCCAAAACCTAACTGCCCAACCCGGCGCCCCACACACCCACTCCACTCCCTCGATCCCCCTCCCCTCCCCTCCGCCCCCCCCGATTAGATCAGGGGGATCGACGCGCCGGTGCCGCCTGAACCTCGCCGGAGCACCACCACCGCTCGGATCGCCGCGCCGCCGCCCTCCTCCTCACCGGCCTGCTTCCTCTCCGACGTCGTCGTCCCCGTCGCCCTCCTCGCGCCCCATTGCCCATGCCCTACTCCTCCCCTG